CCTGGAACTCACTATGTAGACCAAGCTGGCCTTGAACTCACAGAGATCCACCTGCCTCACTGGGATTAAAGGCGTATACCACCACACCCAGCCCCAGCTGACCTTTAAAAAAAACCCAAAAAGATTCATTATTGTTCAATGTTCACCCATTTTATCCAGGGAACTCAAAGATTTGTTATTGTTCAGTGTTCACCCATTTTATCCAGGGAATTCAAAGATTTGTTATTGTTCAGTGTTCACCCATTTTATCCAGGGAACTCAAAGTTTTGCAGGGGAGCTGAGTGGTGGTACACACCTATATTCTCATCATGGAGGAAGTAGAGGCAGAAGGATCAGGAGTTCAAGGCTATCCTCCATCACATAATAAGTTCAAGGCCAGACTAGGCTACATGAAGCTATAGAAACTAAACAAAAATATGCCATGGGGGAGACCAGTCACGAAGCTCCAAACCTGGCAGCTGTCCCTGTCCAAGACTCATGTAGCAAAAGAGGAAACTTGAGGCATCTGATCTTCCAAATACAATGTAGAATTTGATTTAGGTTAATGTGTTAGTCCCTAGCTGTCCCAAAAGCTATTTCTGATTCTACATGTAGCCACATGTGGACTTGTAATCAAATGGATGTGCTTTTATGAAAGATTTTCAAATTGAAACTTAGATCACTTTTCAAAGGAAAAACCTAATCTCTGATGCTTACTTCACTTTACCATGCCTATAAAATATATTTAGATCATGTAGATTTGTTGACCATGAGGCAGTATTAAAGGTAATTTTAAGCCTCCCATGCAGAATTAGATAAAGGATATGTGGCATCTATGTTTTTTTCAATTATTATTCATTTATTTTTATTTTATGTGTATGAGTGTTTTGCCTTTGTGTATGTAAGTGTACCACATGCGTGTAATTGGATCCCCAGCCAGGGTGTGGATGTTGAGAACCAAACCTGGAAGAGCGACAAGTACTTTTTTAAGTGCTGAGCCATCTCTCCTGCCCCACATTTATAACTTCTTGGTTAGTTGTGTAGTCAGTGTTAGTCTGGGTAAAGATTGTGGTTCTGAACACTCTGAAGCAATTCCTTCCCTACAGTTTGATGTACTCATTGCTCCTTCTCAACAGAAAAACAAGAGTAAGTTATGGCACAATAAGGTGTTAATGCTGTGGCTAACCCTCCAGTATACTACATTTGAACTTTGAAAGGATAGATGGTAGAGACAGTTTTACCACATAACAATCAATGATGTAACTGACCCAGCAGATTTAATAATAGTTTATTGATAGATGTAATATCTGCAAAAATGAGCCAAGTAAAATTTCCTGACTGCCCAACAGGCACTGCAGAGATGCCAGTGGGCTGTCATTGATTAATCTAGTGACCAGCCATGTGTGTAACTTCTAAATGTTTATTTATGAATGTGAAGTCAAATATTACAAAGCCTAATACATATTTAAATTATTACAAGTTTAGTACTTAAATTGCTCACTGATGATGAAAATCAGGCAAGTGAAATTTGGCGAGCTCTACTGTTTATCATTCTTCTAAATCTTGCTTTCTCTTAAAGCTCATTTGATGTAGTCATTGTTGGTGGTGGAATTGTGGGTCTTGCCTCTGCCAGAGCACTCGTCCTGAAACACCCTGCACTTTCAATTGGCGTGGTGGAAAAGGAGAAAGATTTAGGTATGTATGCTGTCAGTGTTGCTCTTCAAACTTGTTGTGCACCTGCTTATTTTGTCAGTCTGAATCAATCCTGTTGAATGTTGATGTTAGTGTCTCATTTTGGGTTCTGAAAGCAAAGCCTGGGACAAGAACTTGCATGTAGGTGGTTTTATTTGAGGGGTTATCTGAGGTGTCAGGAAGAAGAGAGGGGGTGAGGAAGAAAAGCCACTTGACACATTCTCATTGTTGCTGCTGGGAGCTTAAGTCCCCTGGGGCCCAGGAGCAGTACAGTGCTTCCCAGGTTTGTGCCCTTCCATCCATCAGCTCCCAGGATTGAGTCTGCTGTTGATAACAGCTTTACCTTCCATCTGAAAGACAGACAAGGGCTTGTAGCATATGCAGACGGCCTTAGTAGGCCTTTAAAGTGGTTTGTTGAAGTGGTCCTTAAAACCAAGTTTTAAATGAAAGTCAGAGATGGGCTTGCATACCATAAACTTGTTCCAGGGATAGCTACTGTAGCACGTCACCAATAATCAGAACAAATCCAGGGAGAATTTTAAATGATGTAACCTTTGATAGCTTCATGTATATTTTTCTCACCTCTCAGGTTTTGTATAAGTTGTTTACTTTTTCTTACTCCTTTTTTCTCTTGTTTTATAGCAATTCATCAGACTGGACACAACAGTGGTGTCATACATAGTGGAATTTATTATAAACCCGAATCTCTGAAAGCTAAATTATGTGTAGAAGGTTCATCCCTCATCTACGAGTACTGTAACCTTAAGGGAATTCCCTACAAACAATGTGGCAAGGTATAGCATTATACTATGGCCTTGTATTACTTATAACTAGTACTTTCTTTTTTAAAAATTTATTTTTATTTATGTGTATGAGTGTTTTGCCTTCATGTTGTAAGTGTACCTGTGAGTGCAATGCCCTCAGAGTTCAGAAGTGGACATCAGATGCTCTGCACCTGGAGTTATCGACTGTTGTTAGCTGCCATGTGGTTACTGGGAACCAAACCCAGGTCCTCTGCAAGAGCAGTCAGTGCTCTCAACCGCCGAGCCATCTTTCCAGCCCCACTGAAATTTTCTTACTGAAAAATCTGAGAATCATGACTTTCCTGATTTTGTATATGTAACTTAAGAACTATAATATTAGAGGATAACAAAAATGATTTTATTTTCAAGTCTACAATTTAGTTTTTAGTGTATTCTAGAGTTATGCAACCATATGATAAATGTTCAAGTAGTGTAGAACACAGGAATTTTCCCATCATAATAGAAAGCAAGTACAGCTAACCTAAGACTGTGGAGACTGGCCCAGTAACTGACCTCTTTTGATGCACATAGAAGCATAAAAGGGTGGCTACACCTGCCCTGGCATTCTAAGGACAGCTGTCTAGTTTTCTTCTCAGTATCCTGGGGGCAAACTGGCCCCTCCTCAAACCTCTACATCAGCAAGTCCAAAGAGTCTGTTAACTCTTAGTGAGCCAAGAACAGGAACCTGTTAACTCCTGTGAACAGAGCACTATTGGCCATAAAGGAAAAGGAGGAATCAGTACATGTGTATGTAGTTGCCTGTTTTTATACATTTTGTATAAATAGAATTATGTTAGAGAATCTTTTGTGACGTTTTTGAACTTAATGTTTTCAGAGGTTATCCATATTGTAACATTTAATTTGTACTTAATCCCTTTTATAGCTGAAGAATACTCCATTATATGGATATGCTGTATTTTATTAGCTCTTTATTAGCTGATAGGCATTTGAAATGTTTCCACTTTTTATTATGAATAATGCATGGAATTTGTGTATAACTACTTTTATATTTTTAAACTAATTTTTATTGATTTTTTTTGCAAATTTTATACAGTATATTTTGATATTTAGATACCCTCCCATATCTGCACCCCCCTTACTAGCCTCCTACCAAATTCCTGTACGCTAATACATATATATGTATGTATATTAAATATTGTTGAGTCAGGTTTGTGTCCCAAAATGATGCCCAAAATGGGTTCATCCACTGGAGCCTGACCAACCTGCTAAGAGTCTTACCCTTAAAGGAGACTCAATTCCGCAGCAGTCATCAGTTGCCAATAGTTACTCAGGCACAGTTGGAGTTTCTTACCTACTTCCCTGCATCTATGCTGGGTTTTTGTCTGTCTAGAGCTGACCTAGGACTTGTTCATACTCTCAGCATTGCTGTGAGTTCATAAGAGTAACTGACCAGCTGTCTGGAAAACTCTTATTTCTTTGTGGTCATCCATCTCCTCTGGCTCTTACAATCTCTACCCCCTTCTGCAATGATCCCTGAGCCTTGGGAGGCAAAAGTTTAATATAGGTGTCGCACTCAGAGATAAACAGTGTGAAGCCTCTTATTCTGTGCACATTCAGCAGTTGTGGTTCTCTGTGTTAATCTCCCAAGGGTGCTTCTCTGCTGAGAGTTCAGAGATATATTAATCTATGGCTATAATAATAAGTCACTAGAAATCAGCTTAATACTATTATCTATTTAGCAGAATTGTTGTATTAAATGGCTTTTTCCCAGGCCCATGAGCTGTCTACCTTCAGATTCCGAGGCCTGATATCAATGTCTGGGATAGGTCTGTATAACTTTTCTGGGAACATAGTCTCTTTCCTTTTCTTTTCTTAGTTTCTTCTTTTGTTTTGTTTTGTTTTGTTTTGTTTTGTTTTGTTTTGTTTTGAGACAGGGTCTTTCTGTATAGCCCTAGCTTGCCTGGAACTCACTATGTAGACCAGACTGGCCTTGAACTCACAGAGATCTGCCTGCCTCTGCCTCCCGAGTGCTGGGATTAAAGGCATGTGCCACCACACCCGGCTCAGTCTCATTTCTTATGGGAATATACCTAGAAGTAAAATTTCTGGGTCATATGGGAACTCCGTCTTAATTTGGAGGAACTGCCAAGCTCTTTGAAAATGTTACACTGTTATATTTTCACCAGTAATTAACAAGGATTCCATATTCTTATTAACAACCGTTTCTCATACCCTTACCCACACTTGCTTTCTGTTTTTATTTTAGCCATTCTAATAGATAGGAAGTTGTATCTCATTGCACATTTGTTTTGGTTTTTGTGTTTATTTTGTTTTGTTTTTGAGACAGGTTCTCACTGTACAGCTCAAAACAGCTTGGAACTCTTTGCTAAAAATACATATTTAGTGATTCTTTGAGAGTTTCATGCAATGTATCTTGATCATACCACCCCCCCAACCCCTGTCCAATTAAGTTGGGTTTTTGGTGGTTGGTTTAGTTTCATTTTGTTTATGGAAACATTTTTTAGATAATTGTGAACGTACAGGGAATCCTAAAGAAGAAAACACAATTCTTTGTACATTTTAGCCAGTGTTCTCCAAATGATAACATTTTGCAAAGTTAAATTATTTCTTTTTTGTGCTAGAACCCAGAGCTTGGCACATGGTGAGCAGCAACCCTCAGCCCTTGGAATAGTTTTATTTTTATTTTCTTCTTCCCCATCTCCAAACCCCACTGGTGATTGAGCCTTGAACTTACCAAATGCTGTACTTCTGAGCTATAGCACCAGCCCTTTGTGGGGTTTTCTTTTTCTTTTCTTTCTTTCTTTTTTTTTTTTTTTTTTTTTTTTTTTTTTTTTTTGAAACGAGGTGTCCCTGTAGCCCCAGCTGGCCTGGAACTTACTATGTGGACCAGGCTGGCCTGGAACTGACAGAGATCCGCCTCACAAGTGCTAGGACTACAGGGATGGATTCCCCTGGAACTGGAGTTTCAGACAGTTGTTAGCTGGCATGTGGGTGCTGGGAATTGAATCTGGGTCCTCTGAAAGAGAAGTCAGTGCTCTTAACTGATGAGTCATCTCTCCAGGCCCCACATACCTTTTTTATTTTTAAAGTCTGTTCTCTCTCTTTTTAAAACAAGGTTTATTTTGTGTGTATGACTGTATTGCCTGCATGTATATAAGTGCACCTGTGCTGTGCAGTACCCTCGAAGGACAGGAGAGGGCATCGGATCCCCTGGAACTGGAGTAATGGATGCTTATTAGCCACCATGTGGGTGCTTGGATACAAACCCAGATCTTCTGCAAGAGCAGCCAGTGCCCTTAACCACTGAGCCATTTCTCCAGCCCCATAAGTCTATCCTCTTAATAGTCTCCAAGAATACAGCATATTGGGGCTAGAGAGTGGTTAAGAGCACTACTTGTAATTACCTGTATGATTTGGAATGCTTTATCCCATTGTGTAGGTTTGCTTTCTTGATGGTATCCTTTGGAGCCCTAAAGTCTGTGAGTATTTTAGAATCAGTTCTAATACATGCTGTGAATTAGGAGTCCAACTTCATTCATTTCTATGTAGATGCTTCAAGAGCAGCCAGGGCTCCACTGAGCCATCTATCCCCTGTTATTACCATCCCATCAATATCAACTCTTTCCATCCAGGATTTCTGTCATTTATTTAGCTTTTTAGTTTCAACCATGCTTTATACTTTCCATTGTGTAACTCTTGCCTTTTGTTAAATTTATTCCTCAATATTTTATTTTTATTACTGTTTTTATGAGGGAATTATTTTTTAAGTTTCATTTTTGATTATTCATCGCTAATATATAAACTGTGATTGATTTTATGTATATCGATTTTCTTTTAGTCTGCAGCTTTGCCAAATTTACTAGTTCTAGTTTTATGTATGTTTCTTGGGTTTTTCTGCCTTTATTTCTGTAGTGTTACATTAACTGGCTTTTGGATGCTAAATTAATCTTGTCTTCCTGCATAGACTACAACCCATTTGGTTATGGTGTTTTTATATGTTGCTGTATTTAGTTTTACAATTTTGCCCAAGATTTTTGCATCCATATTTGTAAATGAGGGCTGTAGGCATAACTCAGTGGTACATAAAAATTTATTCAGGTAATAAATTTTTTAAAATGTTGCTTCCTAGCTGGGCGTGGTGGCACACACCTGTAGTCCCAGCACTCGGGAGGCAGAGGCAGGAGGATCTCTGTGAGTTCAAGGCCAGCCTGGTCTACATAGTTCCAGGACAGCTGAGGCTACAGGGAGACCCTGTCTCAAAAAGACAAAAAAAAAAAGTTGCTTCCTCTTTTGTATTTTGGAAGCAAATATGAAGAATTGTATTTGGGGGCTGGAGAGATGACTCATCCATTAAGAGCACTGGCTTCTCTTGCAGAGGACCTGGGTTTTGTTCCCAGCACCTACATGGGCGCTAACACTTGTCTCTCTGTCCAGTTCCAGGGGATCCAATGCCCTCTTCTGGCCTCTGCAGGCTTTGCACTTACATACATTTAGGAAAACACTTATACACATAAAGTAAAAATAAACATTTTTTTTTTTAAAGAAAGAAAACCAGGGACTGGAGAAATGGCTCTGTGGTTAAGAGTACTAACTGCTCTTGCAGAAGACCTGGGTTCAATTCCCAGCACCCACATGGTGGCTAACAACTGGCCGTAACTCCAGTTCTAGGGGATCTGACAGCCTCTTCTGTCCTCCGTGGGCATCACGCCATGGGTTCACTCACCTACATGCAGGCATAACACTCACACACATAAAATAAAAATAACAAAATATTTTTTTAAAAAAAGAACCTAGGGGCTGGAGAGATGACAGCAGTAAAGAGCACTGACTGCTCTTGCAGAGGACTGGGTTTCGATTCCCAGCACCCACATGGCGGCTACAAACTGTCCTTAACTCCAGTTTCAGGGGAATCCGAAGCTCTCTTCTGACCTCTGCGGCATCGCATGACATGGGTGCACTCATATACATGCAGGCAATACATTTGTACACATAAAAATATATATAAAGGAAACCAAAAAGAATTGGATTTGATGTAGTTTTTAAAAACATTTGGTAGTTTTCATAAGTAAAAGGCTTTGATGCCTGGACTTTTCTTTGTTGGAAGCTTTTGTTCTGTCAAAGCGCTACTCACTTTTTAAAAGTCATTTTCAGAAGTGTACGTCTTTCTAACAATTCATGCATCTAGATTATCTAATTTTTTAAAACTTTTTCATTTACTTTTAATTTTCTGTGTATGAGTATTTTGAGGCCAGAAAAGGATGTCAGATCATCTGTAACTGGAGTCACGGATGGTTATTAGCCTCTATATGGGTGCTGGGAACCTAACCTAGGTCCTCTGCAAGAGTAGCAGTGTTCTTAACAGCTGTGCCATCTCTCTAGCCCCTAAATTATCTAATATTTAAGTATTTTCTCTCTTTCTGTGACGTCTTTTCCTTTACTTGATGGTGTCCTTTGGATCATCTTTTGTTTATAAAGTTAATCATTTGTTGACTTAAATAGCCTTTGTACCTCCAACTTAAAAGAATTACCGCCGGGCGTGGTGGTGTACGCCTTTAATCCCAGCACTCGGGAGGCAGAGGCAGGAGGATCTCTGTGAGTTCAAGGCCAGCCTGGTCTACATAGTGAGTTCCAGGACAGCTGGGGCTACAGGGAGACCTTGCCTCAAAAAAAAAACAAAAAGAAAAAAGAATTACCTCATCTCATGAAATCCTGTCAACTTCTTGGTACAAAATAGCAGCTTGTGAATTCTGTTATACCTGCAAATATGCATCTCAGTTTTGCCTTGCTGGTAAATAAAGAGGAGCTCAATTTCAGATACCTTTCTCAGAAATAAATAGAAAACAATTTTTAAAGATATTAATTTTTTTTCCCTTTGCAAAAGAATGCATTAGTAAATACCTTGTAACTTCAAGAAAGGAAAGGAATAGTTTGCTGAGAGTAGTATCCCACCCATTACACTGAATACTGGATGCTTTGATGAGCTGGCATTTCACATTTCTTTTATTGCAGTTCTCATAGCAAGCAATAGAAATTGAGGCTGTTTCACCTTTAAGGAGATTAGCTTTAATGCCATTTTCTTAAGACCTTGGTGAAAGAAGGAAATAAAATGAACAAAGGGGATAGAGTTATGAAAGAAAAAATGCTGTATATTAATGCCATTTGACTCATGATAATTATAATTTTTCCATTGACTATATTTTATTGCTAGTGATAGATATTTCATTCTCTTCATGTATTTAGCCTTTTTTTTTCTTTTTAAGCTAATCGTAGCTGTTGAACAAGAAGAAATTCCCAGACTTCAGGCACTGTATGAGAGAGGCCTACAGAATGGTGTCAAAGGCTTGAGACTGATCCAGCAGAAGGATATTAAAAAAAAGGAACCCTATTGCAGGGTGAGTGTTTTACCAGCCTAGTGTACATGGTCAAAGGCACAATTTCCTCTGGAGTCCAGTCATGTAACATGAAGACTGAATTTATAGGATGCAGGAATCAAAAATTAGAATCATAGATGATTCTGTCACAGTAACAGACGCAAGAGGGCATTATCACAAACTGGACGTGTGAGTCTTACCTGTAAGAATGTACTGGGTTCAACCGACAAAAGGCAAGAGGAGATCTGATGACCATATGGCGTGTTTGGAAAACACCTGAACAGTGAAGTGTGGTTGAAGCATGATGTATGTAGGGAGAATAAGAGTAATACTGGAGGGGCTCAGAGATGGTTCAGAGGTTAAGAGCACTGGCTACTCTTTTGCAGAGGACCTGGGTTCCCAGCACTCACCTGGCAGCTAACAACCATTCATAATTCCAGTTCCAGGGGATCTTTTGCCCTCTTGTGACCTCTTTGGACATTGCACAACACAGGGGTATTTAACATACATGCAGATAATGCACTCACGCATTAAATAAAATAAAAAATTGTAAAGGGTAATACTGGAAAGGCAGGATTAGACCCATCCAAAGGAACTGGCATTCATACTAATTTACTCTGCAGTTTTTCTAGTAGGCATGGGGAGTAACTAAAGATCTTTTTTTAATTATTTACTTAATAACCACATACTTAGAAGAAGCATTTCGTTACAAAAGCATTGATATATTCAATAACAATTTCCAGAGCTAAGATGCATCTCTCAAAATTGGCTGTAAATTTTTAGGTTTACAGTTGAATTATTACAGTTATGTAATATTGTATTCAGTATAAACCTATAAGACATAGAATTAAATGAGGTTTAAACCTTTAAAAAAGATCTCCATTTCATTATTAAAAACAGTTTCATACAGAAAAATTCATTTTAATGCAATTGACATTAAGATGTTTGCACATGCATTTCTAATCTCTGTAGGTCTGATTATTACTAGACACAGTCGGTTACTTTCTGAGGTCCTTGGCATCTGAGCATGGATATAAAGTTGTCAGGTAGATTTCATTGATAATGTTTTTCACATCTACTAATTACTAAGGAGCAAATTTTTATGCTTTGAAGAATTACTATTTTTATCATTTAAAAAATTTAATAACTACATGATTAGAAGAAGCATTTCACTCCAGCTTTAACATATTCAGTAACACACTCCAGAGCAAGAGTACATCTCTTTCACAAGTGGGTGCAAGTTTCTAGTTCATTTTAAAATATACTGTTTCTTACAGAAAGACTCATTGTTTCTGCTAATAACCCTGAAGATGTTGGTGCATGCACCTCTAATCTGTATGTGTCTGATTGTTACTAGTCATAATCGGTTGCACTTGGATCTTTGGCACCTGTGAATGTCTATAAAGTCATCTTGTAGATTTCAGTGGTAATGTTTATCACCTCTACTAATTAGCATGATGTAAATTTCCATGATTCCTCTTCAAATATAATACATTTTTTAAAATTTGTTGATTTGTGTGTGTGTGTATATCATTTGTTCTCTTTGTATCACACAGAACATCCCAATCCAGTGGTCATAATTTGCATTTCCCTAATTATTAGTGATGTTGAACAACTTTTAAGGTGTTTCACAGCCATCTTTACTTCTTTTGAGAATTCTCTGTTCAGCTCCTTAGCCCATCTTTTAACTGGGTTACTTCTTGTCTTGATTCTCTATTTTTTAGAGTTTGTTATATATTCTGGATATTAAACCTCTGTCAGATGTGTCACTGGTGAAGATTTTCTCCCATTCTGTGGGTTTTCTGTTTGCTTCCTTGGTTGTCTCCTGTGCTGGATAGCTTTAGTGTCAACTTGAC